CTTGCCTCAGGAGACATATCTAGAAAAGTGTTGCTACAGCTGATGTCAGAGAAATTATTGCTTGTGCTCTCTTCTAGGATTTTTATGGTTTCAGGTCTCACATTTAGGTCTTTAATCCATTTAGAATTTATTTTTGTGTATGGTATAAGAAAGTGGTCCAGTTTCATTCTTTCACATGTAACTGTCCAGTTTTCCCAACACCATTTGTTGAAGAGACTGTCTTTTTCCCATTGTATATTCATTCCTCCTTTGTCGAAGATTAATTGACCTTATAATTTTGGGTTCATTTTTGGGTTTTCTGTTCTATTCCATTGATCTATGTATCTCTTTTTGTGCCAATACCATACTGTTTTGATTACTACTGCTTTGTGATATAACTTGAAATGATACCTCCAGCTTTGTTTTTCTTTTTCAAGATTGCTTTAACTACTCACGGTCTCAATTTTGACTTTAATAGGAATAGATGGATATTGCATAACATAATTTTATGCATGTATGTGTATGTGTGTGTACAGATACACACATACGAGGGAAAAATGACCACTCTTAACCCTAAACATTCTTTAACACTCCTCTAGAAGTACACTCCAATACAAATTTTGAAAATAGAAGTTATAAAAGGAGGCTAATTTATCCATGAAAGTTGTAGACGATAAGATTAACTACCTGGAGAAAAAAAGAACAAGGTCATCCACTGGAAAACTGAGAAATAATAAAGGAATATAGGAAGATGACTGCTAATAAATATTAAAATGGTACTTATAACATATAAACTTTAGCCTCTTAGAAAATATAATGGAAGGAAACATTTACAATATCAATAAAGGCACTAAACATAACTGGAAGTCAGTCTAACCGGAGGTGGCGAGAACCGGTCTTGCTACTGCTGTTCACTTCTGGTTCCCCAGCACTTAGAGGAGGGCCTGACAGTGGTGATAAATATTTGTCAAATGGTGAAACTGGCTCACAGATCAAGGGAACAGAAACGTGTATCTATTTTTTTTATTTGATTTATTTATTTGACAGAGAGAGAGACAACGAGAGAGGGAACACAAGCAGGGGGAGTGGGAGAGGGAGAAGCAGACTTCCCGCCGAGTAGGGAGCCCAATGTGGGGCTTGATCCCAGGACCCTGGGATCATGACCCGAGCCGAAGGCAGGTGCCTAACAACTGAGCCCCCAGGTGCCCCCAGAAACATGTATCTAGACAGAGACCCAAGCACATCTGAGAGGCAGTGGTGATCATAGTAATAGTGTTCCACTGCCCTTGCGTGGGGTGTCCCGCATCTGTGTGTTGGGACCAGTTGGTCTGTAGTGTTGTATATATTCAAGTCCTCTGTGTCCTTATTGATCTTCTGTCTGGGGGTTCTACCCATTATTGAAAGTGGTTTATTAAAACCCCCTCCTCTGTTGAGTTACTATTTCTCCCTTCAATTCTGTCTGCATCATATATTTGGGTGCTCTGCTGTTAGGTACACATATATTTATAATTATCATCTCTTCCTGGAGAATTGACCTTCTAATCGTTATATTCTATTCCATTATATTCTATATCCTTGCAGCAGTTTTGGACTTTGCATCTACTTTGTCTGGGGGCGGTGTGGCCACCCCTGCTCTCTTTTGGTTCTCATTTGCAAACAGTATCTTCTCCCATCCTGTTGCTTGCAGCCTATATGTGTCTTTACAGCTCGCTCGGGTGAGTCTCTTAAGAGACAGCCCCTTACCCGAAATAACTCACTTAATCCTCACAATAGATGGTGCTATTGTTATTACCACTTTTAGATGAGGAAACCCAGGCACAGGAAGGTTAGGTAAATTCTCTTAGATCCAGTGAAGCTAGAATTTGAACCAGCACTTGACTTAGAGGTTGTGCTCTTTGTGTCCATCCTAGTACATAGTTAAATTGAGATCTTGAATTTAGAGGGAGGGTGGTGGGGTGGAGGGAGGGAATAGATTATTCCTACATGACTTTGGGGCAACTCTCTAGCCCCTTGCAGGGAAAATAAAGCTGGGCCCTATTATACTTCTTACACCAAAATATATTCTAGAAAAAAAAGATTAAAACGAAGAAAGAAAACCTGAACAGTACTAGTGGAAAACAAGGGCAAATATTCTTAGGATGCTCTAGTAAGAAATACTTTTGACTACAGAAAAATATGAAATATCTGTAAGCCAAAGATGACATAAATAAAAATAAAAGAGACCTATGACAGTTTGCAATACACATGACAAAAAGTTGATTAATTTCCTTAGTTTAGAAAAACCTCTTAAAAATCAACATCACTTGGCATCAGGGAAATACAAATCAAAACCACAATGAGATACCATCTCACACCAGTCAGAATGGCTAAAATTAACCACTCAGGAAACAACAGATATTGGTGAGGATGCGGAGAAAGGGGAACCCTCTTACACTGTTGGTGGGAATGCAAACTGGTGCAGCCACTCTGGAAAACTGTATGGAGGTTCCTCAAAAAGTTAAAAATAGAGCTACCCTACGACCCATCAATTGCACTACTACGTATTTATCCAAAGGATGCAAATGTAGTGATTTGAAGGGGCATGTGCACCCCAATGTTTATAGCAGCAATGTCCACAACAGCCAAACTGTGGAAAGAGTCCAGATGTCCGTTGACAGGTGAATGGATAAAGAAGATGTGAGATACATATATATTGGACTATTACCCAGCCATCAAAAAGAATGAAATCTTGCCATTTGCAACAACCTGGATGGAGCTAGAGGGTATTATGCTAAGTGAAATAAGTCAGAGAAAGACAAATACCATATGATTTCACTCATAGGTGGAATTTAAGAAACAAAACAGATGAATATAGGGGAAGGGAAGGAAAAATAAAATAGGATAAAAACAGAGGGAGGCAAACCATAAGAGATGCTGAACTCTAGGAAGCAAACTGAGGGTTGCTGGAGGGGAGAGAGGTAGGAGGATGGGGTAACTGGGTGATAGGCATTAAGGAGTACACTGGTGTAATGAGCACTGGGTATTATATGCAATTGATGAATCTCTAAATTCTACCCCTGAAACTAATAATACACTGTATGTTAACTAAATTAAATTTAAAAAAAACAAAAACAAAGAAAGTGCTTTCAAAAAAAATCAGTAAGTTGGGAAAGGACATAGGCAGTTCACAGAAAAATAAATGCCAAGGCCAATCAATCAATAAACATGAAAATAATGTCTGCCCTTTCTGATAATTACAGAATCACACATCGAAACAAGATATCATTTTTCAACACTCGTATTGGCAAAGTTTAAAGATCTGATAAGGCACAGTGTTGCCGAGGGTGGAGGTGAGCAGGCACTCTCGTGCATGGCTGGGCAGTTCAAACTGGTTCATCCTCTCTGGAAGACAATTTGGAAACATCTATCAGAATTTTAGACCCACCTAACCTTCGACTCCTTACTATTTTATCCTACAACTAACCTCACACATAGGCACAAAGATACATAATCAAAGATGGTTTTTTGCAGCCAAAAGGTAGAAACAACCTAAACACCCATCAACAGGAATAGACTCACCTGAATTACAGTGCATCTTTCAATGGAACACATGAGCTGCTACAAAAGTAAAGGGTCTGTGCTGGTAGGCAGAGATGTATGCTGTGTGTTAACTAATGAAACAGAGTACTGGGAATATGTTCCGGGCTGGGTTTAGAATAAAGATGAAGGCATAGATATGTATTTGTCAATATTTGTGGGAAATTCTTTGAAGAAAAGTCACACAGGAAACATGGCTGTGTTTGGGAGTGGGACAGAGGTTTGGGGAGCACAAGGGGACTTTTCACTGTGCCTTATTTTGAATGCTTTGATTTTTTTTCCCGATAAACATGTTCTTTTCAGAATTTGAAAAGAATAGTTAAGAAGAAAGCAGTTTGAAAGGGAGAATACTATTTAAGTGCCTCGCCCTGAACTTTCTTTTTAAATTTCACAGTGGGCTCCCCTCCTCTTACATTTGTAATTTTCAATCTGGAAGGGCCAAAGAGATGTCTCCAGTCTTCATCTTGTCCCCAAGGAAATGAGGCCTAGAGAGGTTTCAGCAGCTGCCGGGGACCCCGGCTAGTCTTTCTGCAGAGACGGGGCTCCTATCACACTGTTTGCAGGAAAGGGACCAATGACCCCTTTATGCATATGATCAAAGCTTTCTCCTTAGTTGTGGCCCTTTTCTGAGACGTAGTCCAGCAAGTCTTATTTCGTATGCACCCACGTGGAGAACCTGTTAAAATGCACATCCCCAGGCACCTTCCTGGAGATTCTGATTCAGTGGGCGAGGGTAGGGCCCCTAAACCTACATTTTAGCAAGCTCTCCCCGCCAAATGATGCCGAAGTCCTACTTGAAGTCCCCTTATGAATATGGGCCCCTCTGAGCTCCCCAGCTCAGCCCTGCTGGCAGTATCTAGGCTGAAGCCCCGCCCCCCCATGTGGAAAATGAGGGCTTCCCAAGTCACCAGGAGGGAAGTGGCAGAGCAGACCTAGGTGCTTGGACTTTTATTTTTTATTTTATTTTATTTTAAGATTTTATTTATTTGTCAAAGAGAGAGCGAGCACAAGCAGGGAGAGCGGGAGGCAGAGGGAGAGGGAGGCTCCCCACTGAGCAGAGCCTGATGCAGAACTTGATCCCAGGACCCTGAGATCATACCTGAGCGAGAGGCAGCCACCTAACCAACTGAGCCACCCAGGCACCCCCAGTGCTTGGACTTTTAGTGCAGTGCTCCATCCATGGGCTCCCTCCCTTCAGGCTCATGCTCACCTAGGATGAAGGATGGCTCCCCAGCTCACCCACCCCAGGGATGGGCAGTTGGATGCAGAGATAGGGGGCAGACTGGGCGTCATCTGGGGTGCCCTCCCCCCATGAGAACTCCCCTGAGGCAGGCCTCCTGGCAAGATGCTGACAAGCATGTTGGGCTTATGCCGCTTGGCTGGGTGAGGCGCCACAGGGAGCCTGGGCAATCTGAGAGGGCTTTGTTGTCCCTGTGCCACAGAACCTTGGAGGAGCCAACTTCATGGTCAGGAGCCGAGCAGGGACAAGGCTGGGCCACTCGGAAGCACCTGAGGACTGATCAAGAGGAGGGAGGGCCGTGACCACCCATCTGCCTGAGCCACACCTCACCTGCTGGTCCAGGTAGGTGCTCTTACCACCATCCCACCCAGCAGTGCTAAGACCCTAGCACCAGCTCTTCTGTCAGCCTTAGGAAGTGCGGCCACCCCATCGCCTGGGACCTGGGGCTCTCCAGCCACTGCGTGGTTGTAGGCTCTCCCTAAGCCCTCCTAAACCCACAACCTGATGGGGGGGGGGTGTGTGCAGGAAAGCCCGGTCCTCTCTCTAAAGGACACTGTCCCAGGTGACCTTGGCTCCCAAAGCCTGGGAAAGGGTCCAGAGACTACTCTGGCTCTGGTCAGGGTGTCCCCTGCTCTGCAGAAATGACCCCAGGCTGAGCGGTTAGCTGGGTCCTGCGTGGCTCCTGCCCAGTGGAGCCCAGTCTGGGATCGGCCCAGGACACAGCCAGACAGGTCTCCCAAGAGTGCCCGGCCTCTCGACACTTTTTCTTCAGGAAGGGATCATGACCCATGGTATCTTCATCGACTCTTAGAGCTGGAAGGGATCTTAGTGATATATCCCACCTCAGTCTCTTTTTTACTTCTCAAACTTTACTTATATCAACAGTGCTGTTGACAATGTTGAGGAACCAGGTGTCATTCCATCAAAACAGCCTAGGACGCCCTGGGGTCTCAGGCAGCCCTTCCGGGGTTCAGCTGCCTCTTCCCGGCCTGGCCTCAGCCAGCTCCTCCCCCTACCTTGCCTCTCCTTCCATCTACCCAGTGGCTCCTAGCAACTCATCTGCTTTGTGACAGGGACACTGGTAGTGATCAGACATCCCAAACTAGAAGGCGTTAAAGCCCAGTTAGCATCACAGTGAGGCTTTCTCCCCAGTTTAAGTAAGTTAATAAAATCAAGAAAGGATTGGGTAGTTGAGGCAGGCTCTCACAGTGATATCTCCATTTGAGAGTCTCTAAAATCTCTTTGCCGCCAAAGAAGAAGTTATCCTGTGTGGGCTGTTGGCCAAGAACATTGTGATTGTTGCCATTATCAACAAAAGATATAGTACTTTTCTGTGCAGATCGAAGTGCTTGATGTCCACATCTCCCTCCTAATTTCCTGGTCCAGCCTGAGAGATCCCTCCAGGGCAAGGAATCTTAGGCAGAGGCAGGATCTCACGTCCATCCCTCTGGCCATGCCCACTGCCCCCGCCTGAGCCGGACCCTTGGCCCTCCCATTTCCATCATGTGAGAGGCAGCATCGAATTGTGCAAAATGCAGGCTCAGGAGCAAGGAGGGTTCAGGTCCCAGCTCCACCACCTACTGGCCTTGCCATCTCTCTGTACGTGTCTTTTCACCTGTAGAATGGGGATAGCAACAGTACCCCAGGGGCACTGAGAAGATGAAAGCTAATATCTGTAAAGCACTTGGAACAACCTCCAGCACTCAGTGAGTGCTTCGCACACGTTAGCTCCGGTCATGACAAAAGCCACCCTCTGCTTCCTGAAGCAGGGCAATCCTCTTGCTGCCCTCTCCAAAATCATCTGTGGCTCCCCATTGCCCACTCAGTGACTATGTCTATGAGGTCCTTTAAGGGCCTCAAAAGCAGAAGCTTTATAATTTTCCTTGCACATAATAAGCAATCAATAGCATTTGCTGAGAGAGAGGGTTTTCCATCCTCAAGGTGGGCGAACTGAGTCCCTAAGTAAGGGGCGTGCAGCCACAGACAGCCCCACAGTTGGGGGGCTTGATCCAGGCTCTTCTGCCTCCCCAACTATGCCCTGGATGCCGGGGGCTGGATCTGCCCACGGGGTAGCTTTGGTTTCCCTTGGATCTTCTGGGGCCTCAAAGGCAGGGGGCACCATTCAGGCTCCGGCCTTCCAGGTGCACATCAGATTGAGGAGAGGACACCCCGCACAGGCCAGAGCAGGCTGCGGCCGCAGGTCTAACTCCCATTCTTGGATGAGTTCAGGCCTTGTCCTCACTCATTACCGGGAGGCGGCCAGAACCTCTGCTCCCGAAGCTTGGCTGGGAAGCCCGTGGCCAGCAGAGACCACCTGTGGTCTGGCACCCTGGACAGAGAGCCCGGCCTGCCCCACACCCCGCACCTCCGCTGTTTCCCTAGCAGAAGAGAGGCCAGTGCCACGGAAGAGCAGGCACTGGGTTGGAGTAGGACAGACGCATGTCCAAAACCAGGCTCCTCACTGGGCGGGAAGACCTTGGCCATGTCAGTTAGCTTCTCTGAGCCTCTTTTTCCATCTGTAAAATGGGAGAATAAAACCCATTGCATAGGTTGCTGAGAGGCCAGAATGGATCAACATGCCCAGGGCACCTGTCCAGTGCTTGCACAGGGTGGGTGCTCGGTGACTTGTGGTTATTCTGTTCCATCAGTCAGAGGCACTCTTCCAAGCTGCCCGGGGGGGCAGCTGCCTCAGTCCTGCGAGTCTCTCGCTTTCCTTGGTTGAAAATTTCCTCGCTTGGCTTCCACTTCAAGATGAAGGGAAGTGGTGGTATCTTTGGCAAGGGAGGGAAGGAGGAACAGTCCAAATCTTCGCAGACTCCTGGCAGGGGCACGAGGCTCAGTGGGGAAGAAGCAGAGCTCTGTGAGGCTTTCGCGGAGATTTTCCGCTCCGGTGCTGCCAAGCTCAGGAAGCCAGGAGTGGAGAGACAAGGAGGGAACACACTAGACCATGCTGCTTCACGCAGGGTGCTGGGTTCCTCTTTATTCATGCGACAGATGAATGCATTTGTTGGGATTCCAGGCACCAGGCGAAGCACTGGGATATTCGGCGACAAGACGGATGGACGTAGGCCCTGCCCTCGTGGGGCCTTCATTCGCATGGGGGTGAGGGCAGACAGTGAACAGCATACTCTATGGATAAAATGTGATAGGGGATCAATGCAGGGGGAAAACAGAAGGAGAGGGGGACTGGGAGCGCCTGGGGAGTTTCCTTATTAAATAGGGTCATCGGGACAGGCCTCACCAAAAGGTGACATTTGAGACACCAATTGTCTGCTCCCCTCAGGACCCCCTGACAAGCCCATGAACTCAGAATCAGGGCCAGGTGCCTTTCATGAGATCCCCAGATAGGAGCTAAATCTAGAAACCCTTCTAGTCCCAGCCCAGGTAATGTCATGCCCTTCCTCTGAAGCCTTCAGTAGTTCCCTATTGCCTACACAATTAAGTACAAATCATTCATTCTGAGATTCGGGACCTTCCTGTTATCTCACCAGACCCTGCTCATGCCAGCTCTGCAGTCATGCCAGTCTACCTGCCATTTCTGGAATATTCCATTCTCTGCTTCCCTCCATCATTCCTCTGTCCCCTCTGCCCAAACTGCCCCTGTCCCCACTGGTTCCTGTTAGCCTGCCACCTCTCTGAAGCCTTCCCTGCCCCGGAGGAGCTGTGGTCACTGAGCCCCTTTCTCATTCCATGGCCCTTACTCGGCCTTGGGTGTGTGCACTGCTTTCCCTGTGTGATCTTTCCACGTGGCTGAAAGTGCTCTGGGCAGGGCCCAGGGCTCTTTCACCTCCAGCGGGTATAAGGCTCAGCAAACATTGGCTGAATTGAGTGTGGCCAAGCTCAGAGGCCCCCAGCAATACTAGGACAAGCTGGTGGAGCAGGGGTGGCCCACTCACAAAAAGAAGGCAGAAGGGGGAGGCCAGGGGCACCTGGGTGGTTCAGTTGGTTAAGCGTCTGCCTTCAGCTCAGGTCATGATCCCAGCGTCCCTGGGATGGAGCCCCGCATTGGGCTCCCTGCTCGGTGGGGAGTCTGCTTCTCCCTTTCCCTGTTTGCCGCTCCCCCTGCTTGTACTCTCTCTCTGTCAAATAAATAAATAAAATCTTAAAAAAAAAATAAGTGGGGGGCCACCAGGAAAGGAGAGAGGGAACGAAGACATGGGTGAGACAGGATGGAGGAACTAGAGAAGAAAGGGGACAGAGATCCCTACCGTGTTTTTTCCAGAGAGACAGACCATCAGAGACAGAAGGATGGGTTCTTTTTCCCCAGAAATAGCTATGACTCCCTTCAGCATCCCGGAGCAGTGCTTCCTTGTGTCTACCTAGAATACCTCTTGCTGCAGCTCGCGCTCATTTCCTTCGGTTCTATCCTCTGGACTCAGGGAGCTATATGAGCCCTCATTCAGCATGGATCACAGTGGCTTTCTTGACCCCCCCCCATCCAAGAGGCAGGTGCAAGGTCCTAATGAGGCTGGCCCCTGGCCTGGGACTTCACACTCTAGTTGAGGAAGCCAGGACCCCTAGAGCTTCCCAGAGATTGTTTGGGGGCCAGAGTATGGGGGCCACCCCACGTCATGGAGGCTGTGCCTCAGCCACTCTCCAGGGCTACCCTTCACCACAGTCAGATCTGTAACCAGAGAGCCCCCACTACCACAGCGCTGTGATTCTCAGGCCACTCTGCTCTGGGCCCTCTCTGTCCCCCAGGCCCTGTGAAGCCCCACGAGCCGCCCGCGGCCTCTGCCATCTGGTCCCGCCCATCGCTGGAGCTCTGGCCGCCCCCCCACCTCTCTCCGACTCCCCTGGAGACAGCCAGCCTGGCTCCTGCCCTGTTTCAACAGATGGGGACAGAGCTGGGTGTCCCTTCCATCTCTGCTGTCCCGAGGGGTGGCGTGGTTCCATCTGGGACCCAGACTCTCTCAGGGGAAAGCCTTTACATAATCCAAGCCCACCTCCCTCTCCTCCGGGAATGTCATGCCCTTGGCCTCCCTGTGGCCGCAACTCCCAACTCCCCAACTCCAAGTCGGAAGCCCCATGTGCCCCCAAGGCTCGGTATGCAGCTGCCAATCTCCTCAGTGATGGTAGTTCCCATCTTGGAGCTGTGAGGATGGCAAGAGCTCATGCTGACAGGCCCTCCGCACTGCACCCAACAGTAAGCCCTCGGTCAGGGGGACTCCTGCCCTCCTGCTTTGGCTGACACCATCCCCAGGCAGCCTTTCCAGGTTGTTCAGGGCTCCTCCACCGGGCTCCCAGCACCCCTTCGCCAGGCCTCTGCAGCGCACCTCTGCAGACCTGTCATGGCTCCTTTGGGGGTCTGTGGACCCACTAGAATCTAGTGCTTGGACCAT